TGAGAAAAAAATTTCTTTTCAAAAAAGTTAAAATTTTATTTTAGTGCCTTTATTTAAATAAAAAGTTTTTTTAATCTCCCTCTTTAAGAAAATTCATTTTTAGCCTATAAAATTATTCTCCAACTCTTTTTTAATATTTACTTATTTTTTTACACATATGACTCATTAAATAATAAAAATTTTAAAGTTAAAAGACTAAAAAACTCTTCTAAAAATAATTCATTTTTAATCCCTTTACTTCAAAATTTTTGTTATTTAACGTATTAGATATAGAAAAAGATGAATTAAAAAAAATAATAAACTTTAAAAACTAAAAGTAAAATTTTTTAACTAGAAAGACTAAAAATAAATTTTTTATTAAAATAAAAAGACTAAAATTAAGTTTTAACTAAAAAATAAAAATTGATTTTAATTATAGCTGAAGTTGAAAAGGGTAAATATATCTTTTTGCCAAAATAAAAATTTAAGATTTGTTTTGTTTTTTGGATGATAAAAATTTGAAAAATTAAAAAATAATTATAATAATACAAAGATTTGCCTTATTGATGAAAATAAATTTAAGATTATAAATGAAATAAATCTAAAAATTTTTTAGTTTAGCAGGCCGGCTTGTGAGACAAGATATCCGACGCGTGCTCTTACATCTTACCCTCCTGTCGAGTTTCGACTAGGGATAGCAATTTGCCCCGATCCCCGCGGGGCCCCGTGGGGATCCCCGTCACGGGAATGGAGTGAGGAGAAATATTCCTCTCCGCGGGGCGAGGATGGGGGGCATTTTCCCCTCGTGAAATTTCACGGGAAATTTTTCCCATCTCGTAGGGCCTGGCGGGATCCTCATCCCCGCAAAAAATTAAAAATAATAAATTAATTTCATTTTAAATTTAAAATAATTTTAAAACCCAACCCAATTCAATAAAATTTAACCCACCCCAAAGGCCAACTCAAAGGCCAACTCAAAGCCCAACCCAATCTTTTTAACCCTAAGCATCCTTTTAACCCTAGGCAACCTTATTTGTTTCTCCATTTCTGCATGTGATTGCCCCTGCCTCTCACCCTTCAACTCTCTCTCACACACACACACTCACTTAAGTCATCTTTCACCTTCCCTTTTGGCCCTCCCTACAAATCTCAAACCCTAAATCCCTCAATCCCTTCATTGCCGCCCTTTTATCCTTCTCTATTCCACATCTCACCCTTCTGCCTAGAACTGGAGTCTGGACTGCTACTGCCAAACCAAATCCGTCTGCGGCACTGCTGCTGCTGCTGTGCCACTGCTCTGCCACGGCTGCGCCACTGCCCCACCACGGTTGCACCAAGAGTGCGCCACTGCTGCGCCACGTTGCACCACGGCTGCGCCACTGCTGCGCCATGTTGCTGCTGCTCAAAGTCAAAGTTGATTTGCTGTGTTTGCTGTGATTTTGATTATGTTTGGTCTAAAAAAATGTATATTTAGATATAATTAGTGGGGAACGGGGATCCCCGTTCCCCGCGGGGAATGGGATGGGGGGCAAAATCTACCCCCCGTCAAAAATCTCCGCGGGGATCCCCATCCCTGTCATACACGGGGATGGGGATGGGAAGGGCCTCCCCGGCCCTGCGGGGCCCCGTTGACATCCCTAATTTCGACGGCGCGTCACCGCCTTACGCACAAAATGGAAATTCACTTTGAAGCCCTGTTTGGTATAGTGGTTTTGGGGTAGCGATTAACAATTTTATTTAAATAGTTAAATATAGGTATTTGGTAAATTTATATATTTTGAAACCATTACAACTAAAGTGTTTGGTAAAATTTTTATTTAGCGGTTTGAGACTAACAGATAGCGGTTAGAGTCTAAATCGCTAGCGGATTGAAAAAGTTAGTTTATGTAACTTTTTGTATCAAACTGCTAACGGATTAAAATTTTTTAATTTTATTGACAAATTTATCC